CTTAAATGTATTATTTAGTTAGACTTCCTTACCAAACAACTATCCCAAACAAACAGTAGAAAAGGCTGCAAATACACAAATCCCACCAAACACAAGAATCTGCACGCACTGGTAGCCCCCCGCTTTTCATTTCTCCCAGCTGATTTGCAGAGCCTCGCACACAAGACAGCGGCACTTCAAGAACGCGAGGTGGCGAAAGCGGCCAAAAGAAAGCGGCCAAAAGCGGCCAAAAGCTCCCCATCTCCCAAGTCCGAAACGTAAAGCTAAACCACCTGAGAGACAGAAATTGCGAAGTCCCTTTCCAAGATTGTTTGCAGTACCCCCAAGGCACTCACTGTTCCATCATCCCTTTCACCCTTTGGGGTCCATATTTTTCGGCTACATATTTGGTTTGCCCGTGGTTTGGGTGAACGCCATCGAGCCCAAGGCGCCATGAAGAGACTGGCCTTCGAGGACCAGCGGGATGTGGCCAGGGCCATGCTGCAGAGCCCGGAGCCCCGGGCCCCGAGTCGCGGCCAGAGCCGGGCGGCAAGTTCTTGGATCCGGGCGTGGTGTGCCCTCCCCCCCCCCCCGCTGAATCTAGACGTTTCCAAGAGACATCGATCCGGTCGTGTCATGGTGAGCAATTGGTGTCCAAGTGAGTGGAGTTTATTCTTACTCGAGCAGGGATGGCCTTGATTCAGCTAGCGGTATGCCCATGAGTCAGCGAAGGGTGATGGAGGTGCCCCTGCAGTTAGCCTCCAACTTCTGGAGGAAAATTCGTCCAAACAGGCCCCCGCCATGGTTTCCCGGGCTTCAGGGTTCAGGGAACTATCAGGGGAAGAACAAACTTGCTCAGGCTGGCACTCCATATGACCTTTAATGAATGGAACCCAATGGGAAACAATGTGCGGTCACGAACCCGTCTTGTGTCTTTTACGGATGTCGAAGGGGTCCACTTCCAACCACCTTTTGGGCCCCTGTAAGGTGAGTTTGCCTTGGTAGGTGGTGATTCAATTGGAGGTATGGGCGTGTGCGGTTTTGAGGGTACCCGTTTTTGGGTTGGCTTCCATCTATTTTGGGTGGTCCCCGAAAAACAACGCGCACCCATGTGGGCACCGCTTCAAGAGATCAGGTGCAAAACGAAGCCGCGACGCTCCGGAGCTGGCACTTGCCATCAGGCAAGCATTGGGTTGGCCGGTGGCTCGAGAAGGTTTTGAACAGGTGGCCTTCACTCCCCGCTCCAGTCCCTTTTTGGAGGTTATATTGTGGATGGACAGGATCGGTTGGCACACCGAAATGAAACCATGCTTGAAACCATGAAACTGGGGAATCGAATCATTCCAGGGTTTCTGAACGGTGCCTAAGAGGATTTCGTAACCATCCACAGTAGCAAGGCCTATATCAACCTCAACTATCTTGGTAGGACTCGAAGTCAACGGGTTTTGGGCACAGGTCTTTGGTGCAATCAAACCAAGAGCGGCAGCAAACGCCGAGTTCATGGGACGCCTGACTTGCTTTAGACAGCAAGGCCCGCAAGCTTGGCGCGTGGCGATGAGAAAGGCCGCTCACAGTTTTCTTGGACTCTCTCAGCTTCTCGCACAGGGATTCGACGGCGCTTCCCTTGTTTGGGTGGCATTATCACCGTTGTTGGGTTGCCATTTTGCACAGAGCACTTGTTTGTGCCTTTCCAGAAGACGTGCAACAGCGCATGGTCAGCGGATCAGTCAAAAGACCAGCAGTTTCTGCAAGATGAGGAAAGGTCAAAGGTGGCCATCACCACTTGGTCCGCACACACAAGGAGCGAACAAGCCACCATTGCAGGAACACTGGCCACCCAAGGCACTCCAAAGGTTTATCATTCCAAGTGTCGGAATTCTGTTGGCCACGCGAGGTGAGGAGTCCAACTAGCTTGAGATGTGTTTTTGTTGGGACCCAGGAGCGCGATTGTCAAATTGAGGAGTCCAACTTGTTTTTTGCACATATCCATCTTTAGTACTGTAACTCTCAAGTCATATCATGTTACATTTGAAGGTGAAGCCTAAATTCCGTCCAGAACCCACAGGTGGGAGCGTGTTTCGGAGCATTGGTACCCTTTCCAGCTTGGTTTCGAATGGAAACTTTGGTTTCGAAGGGACACCAAAAGGATGCGGATTTCCGCCCTATTTTTTACGGAGACCCAAACGTCAAGTTTGATTTGAGGCCGCCGTTTCTCTTCAGGCGTGGGCGCGAGGCGAACTTGGAGGCTCGCTGCTACTGCTCTTGGCGCCAAGTCACAACCCGTGCAGTTGTTTCTTTTTTGCTGAGGTGCTAGAACGTTTAAAAGGAAACCAAATGGACACCCACCAATTTGGGTGTCCCCTATTTCAACACGCATCTATGCCAACACCGGGGACAAGAATTCGGTGAGTTAAATAATGATAAATTGGTCCGGGGTTCCCAATGTCACTCCCCATGTACAGCAGATAGAAAAAAGCCCACAACCCATTGGTTTTTGTACGTTCTCCAGCTGGACACTGCG